GCTGGACGGTGTAAGCAGTTGCTCCTACCAGCTCTTAACTTCACCCTATTCAAACCCAAATTAAGGAGCTTTCCCCACCCAATCCGTTCCTCTTTCTAATTCTCCCGTTCACTTCCATTCAGTGTCCATGCAACAAATATTTATTAAGTACATGCTATGTGCCTGACTCTCACAAGGTATACAGTGTTAAACAAAACAGACGAGTTCCATCCTCAAGGCTCTTTCAAGCTAATGTCTGGAAACATGGACATTGAACAAACTATGTATGTAATCATTATATTTGCAATTATATTAACATCATTACTTTCCTATTAACTCTAGTTTAAATCTCAAACTCAGCTTTGCTTCTCCCTCAATCTTTACAACCAATTAACAAGTCTTTGAATCTTCTTTCACGGTGACTTAAAAGGCCATTATCGCCCTCCATTCTCAGTGTCGCTAGTTTTGGGTGGGCCTTTACTACCTCCGCCTGGTCTGTGTTCTTCAAATTGCCCTTCTGCTCGTCCATTTACCCACCTGCACTTGCGGTTATGAGAACCGCCTTCAAGTACAGCTTCAGGCCACAGATGGGGCGGGGTGGGGGATCCTTCAGTGGCCGCCTACTGTGCAACATGTGGTCATGATCTTCCCTGTAAATGCCTCGTCCTTCCCTTGTTCCTCAACTTTGCTCCTCCCAATCCATTTCCGGGGAAACTGGTCTCCCAACTTAAAAAAAAAAAAAAAAAAGCTCATTCTTCACATTCTGGCTCGTTGAAACTCCTAGCTCACTCCAGTTAGAAATGACTGCGTATTCTGAACGCTTCAGGCACCCTACCTATCACTCACTCAGCACACGATACGCTGGGTGTGGCCATTCGTGTGTCCTGCAGCTCCTCCTGGAGTGTGGGCTCCCTAGGAGCAAAGATGTCTTAACCAGCTCTCCCTTCCAGTGATGCCTGGCACCAGGGCTGTGTCCCTTGCCTCTATGGGAAAAAGCTGGTTTCCATGAACTCTCTGGCCGGGTCCCACGTTTTCTTCCCTGGGGGCTTCATTTCGGGCCTGCCCCAGAAGCTCCAAGGACAACATCAAAGGCCAAGAACAAGCTCAAGGGGACTCAACAAGGAAGAACCACGCGTGCAGCAAAGGTCCCCGGCGCGGCGGGCACTGACCTGCTCCAGCAGGTAGATGAGCTGGTCTCGGGCTAGCCTCTTGAGCATGGAGAAGTCAGGCAGCTCCGGGGCATCCGGCCGATGTGGGAAAGCCATGGCCACGGGGTGTCAGAAGGGGGTCGCCCTCAGCTCCCCCAGGGTCGGGAGCACCCCAGGATAAGCGCAGGATGACTCTCCTTCAGGCCTGGGCACGGACTTGGAAACAGCCCCCGAAGGGGCCCTCACTCTTCAGCTGCGCTTGAGGAAAGAATGGCCACCTCCCGCCGAGACAGCCACCACCTCAGTTACCCTCTTCTCACGCCTACAGCCACCGTGTCCCAACCCGCCCCTAACAAAGGCCCGCTGCTGGTCAGCAGGATTCCGGTCTTGTTTCTGCAGGGAGAACCCCGCCTACTGACTGACAGGAGAGGCTTCCGGTACTTCCGGAAGTCCTCCTCCCATCACCGGAGCTTGGCGGAGCAGAAATGGACGGTGTCTTGGAAGGGACATTTCAAAACCGGAGCCAACGCCTCAAAGGTCCAGTCTCATTTCTGGTCAGAGAGGTGTGCTCCTATGGTAAAACTAGTGCTTAAGGGCACACTCGATTCTCCTAGCTCATTCAAGCGAGGGTTGGGCACTCGCTTGATTTCAGAACTTCGTACAATGGGTGAAACGCATCGGAGACTTAACAGCGCTGATGATGGGTCTCTTGACTGTCGGTCAAAGTTACTCTTAGGGGCGTGCTAGCTAGCAGCTCTCTGGCTTCCGAGCTGCAGGGGAGATTCAAGAGTTGGGGAGTGGGATTAGGGTGCGAGACAGTGGGAGAGGACAACGCGTTGGGATCCAATGGGAGCTAAAAGTCCCGCCGCCTGTAACCTTTGGATACCAGGGTTTTGACTTATTAACGTCCTTCATGGGATAATGGATTGATAAATTATGGCGTATTCATAAAAACAAATGCATAAATGAAAGAAGCCAGAACGAGGGTGGCATTTGCGTGATGCCGCTTACATAAGGTTCTAGGACAGGACAAACTGATCTGTGTTGAAAAAATTTCAAAAAAAGTGCTTGACTTTGGGATGATAACTGGAAAGAGAAATTAGGTAATTTTCAGGGATGATGGTAATTATACCTACCTATTTAGAGAGTAGAAAAAACTTACAGAGTTATAAAGAATAGATTCTGCTGGCAATAACCTGAACTCAGTAATCAATCATAACAACACATCCTCATCTCCTGCATAAGTCAATAGGAAGTACAGAGCATCCATCACTCTCTGCCAAAACTTTGACCTGACCAAGCCTCAAGACTAGCGATCAGGTCATAGGAAAGGCAGAAGGTAGTGAGAACATGTCAGAGGACATCTCAAGGGTGAAATCAAAATGCAGGAAATTATATGGGATAAACGACCTGTCAAGCAGTGAGGGAAATAAAGCGGAAGGGGAAACCACTTCAGAATGAGACTTCTAGAACACATCAACACAATGCACTGGTGCCTGGATCCTGTTCCAAAGAAATAAACTGTAAAAGCCATTTGTGAAACAATCAGAGTACTATCATGAGTTCAGCTGAAATTAAGGAGTTACTAAAACTGAAGTTTTATGCACTGGCATATAGATCGATGTTAAATAGGAGTCCTTAGCTCTTTGAGATGTAGACTGAAGGGTGTAAAAATGAAGAATGTGTGCAATTTGCCCTGGCTGGTGTAGCTCAGTGGATTGAGCACGGGCCTGTAAAGCAAAGGATCACTGGTTCAATTCCCAGTCAGGGTACATGCCTGGGTCACAGGCCAGGTCCCCAGTGGGAGACACATGAGAGGCAATCACACATTGATGTTTGTCTCCCACTTTCTTCTTCCCTTCCCCTCTATCTAAAAATAAATAAAAAATATTTTTTAAAAAAGAATGTAATTTATTTTGAGCCGGGGGTAAATGTGCAGCAAGTGCAGGGTAATGAGATTGGCTACTTGTTCAATGTTACAGCCGGGTGATGGGTGCACAGGGGTCCATTCCCTTACAATATTCTCCCTACTTTTGTGTATTTGAAAAATTCTGTAAGATCAAGCGAAAAAGTACTGTTGTGCTTGCGCTGGGCTTCCAGGTCATCTAGCAGTGGATACTGAGCTTTCCTCCCCCACCCTCCCTCTGTCAGACTGAATCTCGGCTGCAGAAAGGCCGAGGCTGCCCAGGACAGATGAGACAGTCGCTGCAGAGCAGGGGGACTTAAACCCCTTCTCCTGTCGTTCACCAGCCTCTTGAGCTTGGCCCCCAGTTCCTCTGAGATGCCCATTCTACTCACAGCTGCTTTTTCTCCAGGTCCAGCAGAACCCTGCCATCTCTCTCCCTCCCTAAACTGGACACTGCACCTGGGCTCCTGTGGGTTAGTCCAAGACACACGGACTGGAAAGAGCTCAGGCCTTGCTGACCTTTACCTGAACGGGGAGGCCCACAAGGGTGAAAGGTGGGGCTTTCTGTGCCCTGGGCGGGCTGTTTGGTGTCAGGTCCCCCACCCATTTCCTCACCCCTATGAGAATCCATGCTGGGAGCTGTGACTGCAGCAACACAGACACGTCTCCTGCCCTCGTGGGGTCCACGTTCTACTGGGTGGGTAATCACAGTATTTGGTAATGTTTTCCAAATACTGGGGAAAATTAAACAGCGTGGTGATCATGAGAACATGGAGATGCTTTAGGTCTGGTCATTAGGGAAAACCTACAAAAGTAACATTTGACCTGAGTCCTGAATGACGAGGAGCCAGGCATGGGAGGACCTGGGGACGAAGAACCAGGAAGAGCAAAAGCCTCAGACTGACCCGTGCAAGAATGGGAAGACTGAAGCCGAGTGAACTGCAGCGGAGGACAAGGTAAAGGGAATACCTACCCCAGTCTGTAACAACGGGGAAAATTTCCCACAGCCCACTGGGGACCGGGCCGGACAAACAGCATCTCACACCTGTCAAATGACAGAAAGGTTCTAACGGAAAATGACCCTATTCTTTTAAAATCATCACATTGATACACTTTTACTACAAACTACAAGAACAGTGAGAACCAGGGCTTTGTCTGCCCAACGCTGCATTTCCAACATCTGGATTTTCTGTGATTGGCAGGTGATAAGACCATTGAAACCAACCAAATGCTCTGGTTAGCAGTGAGGAGTGATGTAACAATGGCTGTTGATGACATTTGAAAGAGGAAGGTTTCACAAACATGTTTGGAATATCTGTTTTCCTTAAACATCCTCCTTATGTTTAAGCTCCAAATAACCAATTTTTGCTGTAAATTTTTGCTCATTTTGTTACAATGAGACATGGTTGAGAACTGTCACCGGGTTCCTGCTGCTTGCATGTCTTGTTCCATCTCTATGACAATCACTTTGTTATAAAAAAAAAAAAGTGTCTCCAGTTTTAGAGGCCTTGAATTAAGGATCAGACCTGGGTTCAATACCTGGGTTGCTACTTAGGAGCAGTCATGTGGCCCTGGGCACATCCACATTGCTTTGAGATGGTGTCGTTTGTTAAAAGGGGCGTTTTCTTGCCTTCATCATAACACTCTTGCCAAGATGTGAAAAACTGAAGACATACTTTCTAAATTTTTGAAAGGGACTGGAGATGATGAGGGCTCCAAAGCCTTTGCCTGCGTTGCATTTAAAAAAAACCAAACCCCACACACATCTCAATCTTTTATAACCTTAGCAACTAGAAAAGATTCATGTCCTTTTTACCTGTCAGATTCCCACAGAGCAGTGACCTACACATTTCTCTGTGGGGGATCCCTGAGGCCCCTCCCCCTGCCAAGGAAGGACCCTCCCCTCTTCCTTCCCGCACCAGGTTTCACAGGTAAATCCTCCCACTCCACAGAACCAACAAGCACACTGCTATGTTTCAGTTTATTTTGCACATAATGAAAACAGCCAATTGACTAAGCAGTTTCAGAACTGTTAGTGTTCATTAATCAAGAAATAACAAAGTCAGAAGGCCAACATCTGAATTCTTCCAAAACATATCTTACAGGTACAACTGAAATCCCTTAACACATGCAATATGGGCTGGTTTGGAAAGAGAGAACCTAAGCAAGATGGGTGAGTAGTGAATGTCCGTGTGGGTCAGACCAGGGGAGCCAAGCTCCAGGAAGCTGGGCTGTACCCGGCCGGGCATTCACGCTGCCCCCATATACACCTGCCCTGTGAAGTCCACTGCCTCTCGTCAGCTGGAAACCCAAGCAACTCTTTCCTCCATTTCCAGACTCATCACCTCCTCTTATTTCAGGGTGGCTGATCCACACACAGGAATCCAGGCAGCGCAGATGCCCCGGCCCAGCTGGGTTTGACGCAGCATCTCCGCAAGTCAGGCTCCAGCTCAGATTCTGTACAGGAAGTTTCCATTGCCGTCAAAGAACTCACGCCCCCGCTGCACCACTTTGCTGCTGAAGTTCTGGCCGCCCTGCTCTCCTGCCTTCAGCTCCTCCAGCCTGATCGCACTTGGCAACCCAGCCCTGTCGGTCCCCCTGGCGCCCTCACAGTCCGTGGTGGGACACTTCCGCGGCTCTCTCCGATGACGTTCAGCCACAGGCGCCAAGCTCTCCTCCTCCAGGCTCTGGACCCCGTTATTCCTTCTCTTCTGTCTCCTCGGTGGGTCTGTGCTGTGAGTATTCGGTTCCGTCACCGTGAGCGCTGTGCTGGGACCCTGGCCTTGGCATGAGGCTTCACCTCCCGACACAGAGTGGCCCGTGGGAAGCAGTTTCCAGGTGTCCCCAGAGCCCGGAAGCTGGCGGAGCGAGGGGGTAAGTCCCGCTTTCTTAAGGACTTTTTGATCCTGCTTCAGTTTCTGCTCCAATGTGGGAACAAACTTGCTCTTTAAAACCCTTCTGATCACATCGGTGCTAACATCAAAGCCTTCCGCCAACCTGGGGACTGACCAGGACTCGGCAAATTCTTTACGTAAGTACCTATAGGAAAACGAAGCAGTTCTTGAAATTGTCAAGTCCTCTGTCAGAATAGCTGACTGATAATATCAGTGATAAACACATAAGAGGAGCTGAAAACGCAGGCTGTGTTCCACTCCTGCGTGCCGAAAGCAACACCCAGCCACATGAGATCACTTCATTTCCCATCGACTGACCACCTCCCACTGCACTGCAGCCCCCGTTTAATCCTGGTGACGGTGTGGAGTCTGTCCTTCCCTTTAAAGAACACACAATCCAGGGGCCAAGACAAGTATGCTGACGTACAGCACCGTGACGGGTCTCCCAGCACAAGACGCTGTGAGGGCACCCACAGCAGAGACCCAAGAACAGGCTGTCACAGCACGTGCAGCGTGGCCCAGGAGCTGCTCTGGGAAGTCGATGTCAGAGCTGGTCTGAAAGGATGCAAAGGAGTTAGAAAGCCGGCAAAGGGGGAGGAAGGGATCAAAAACACGGATGGCGGAGTGAGCATGTGAAATGCAAAGAACACCATCTTTGGGGGAATAACTCATCTGACAGCGAGGACGGGAGCAGGATCTCGCCATGCTGAGTATGGAGTTCATTACAAAGCAACAGCAAACCAGGGGAAGCATCTAAGGGGTGGAATGCCACGAGCAAACTTCATTCTGAAGCTCAATCCAGTGGTAGTCCTTCAGTGGCTAGACTACAGGTGGAAAGATTGGGCAAGAGGCTGTGAGAATAATCCAGACAGTGAGTTCACAATCCATTAACTGAGATGGTAGCAGTGAGAACAGAGGCAGCAAGAGACCTGAGGAATATTTTAGGAGGGCCAAGTGGTAGAAGTTGGTAAGTGAGGAAGGAGGCTGAGATTCAGCATTTTAGCCTGGGGGACTCGTGGAATCATTCAGGGGTATAGCAAAAGCAGGAGCAGGATTAAACTGTCCAGAAGAGTGAGTGATAAGTTCTGTTCTGTACACGTTGAGTTGGAGGAACCTGTGTGACATCCAAACAGAGGCATCTAGTGCCCAGCTGGAGGTCAGAAGAAAAACACAGACTGAAGATGATGGCTCTGGAAGTCATAAGCCAACAATAAAAGTGGTTGAAGCCATGTGGGTGCTTGGTATTAGGCAGGGAAATGTGCAGACTGAGATAAAATGCCTGAGAACACAACTCTAAAAAAAACAGCAATATTTAACAAACAGGAGGAAACAGGGCTGTTCAGGAAGAGAAAAGCAGCTCTAAAAATAGAAGCAAGTGGTACCTGGGTGAAGGGAGAAGAGAATTTCACAAAAGCCGACTGACTACAAGGTCAAACGCTGTAGCAACGTTAGGGAGGCTGAAGCCCAGGGCGTCCGTCACGCCTGGATTTGCTTCACAGACAAGACAAAAAACAATGGCAGGCAGCCTGCTCGAACAAAATACAGGGAAAACTTCTGCTGACAGACACGGGTCCCCGAGGAGGCGGGCAGGGCTGCAACCCCGAGCGCAGAGAGGATGAGCCCCCCACGAGCTCCCTCTGGGAGCAGGGTTGAGGTGGGAAGCGGGAAGGAAGACAAAGCAGCTCTGGGGCGGGCCCACCCAGTGGCCTGTTTTCCTTTGAGTAAAAGGACATTTACAGGCCCCAAAAGAGGATGAGACAGGTAGGAAGACTTGAAAGGCTTTTGTGCCAGGCAGGAGAGGAAGCCAACGGCGAGAGAAGCTACAGGCCCACACAGTCCTGTGGATCAGCTCCACGGAATCTGTAGGTCTCAATCCCCGAGTCGTTCCAACGAAAACTGAACACAGCACACAGCCCACGGACGGCTATTTAGGGACAAAATGAAAACCCACCTGCCCAGGGGGCCGGCAGCCCCACTCTGGGGATGTGTGAAACCACTGCGCCCCGCAGACCCGGCGCATGAACGGTTACTCACTAGTGATCTTCAACCTTTCACCTCATGGCCACATAAACTCATCACTAAATTCTGGGGCACACCAAAAATGATTTTTTTTTTTTGCCAAGCTGACCAAAAAAGGGCATATTTTGATTCATTCAAAACAGGATGGCTATTGTGTTGGCTGTTGTCACTTTTTTATTTGATAATTCAAGGGAAAAGAGGTCAGTGTCCTGAGTAAACAGTCGGGTATTGCACGTTTTAAACATTCTTGCGGCACAAGCGGGTGAGAATCGCTGCACTAGAGCACTGTCTGCCACAGCAAAGGCGTGGGAACAACCCAAGTGCCCATTAGAAAAGGCTGGTTAACTACACTGTGATTGCTATAAAAAACAAAGAGCTTTCTCTTCTGAAGGAAAAAGATATGAAGTGGGAAAAGTACAGATAGCATGTATTTATAGAATCCTACTGCTTGTAATTAATTAAGATGGAAATAAAAATCTACAATCATAACTGCTTTATTTCCACAAGGAAACCTAGGGAAAAAAGGCAAAAAGAAAAACTAGTAAAAATGGCACCCACAGGAAACAGGCTGGGATTAACACTTCCCAGTGTGAACCCATTGTTCTGTTCTAATTTTGAACCATATGCAATATAATCTATTCAAAACAAGAAACCTTAAAGTTTGAGAAAGGATCCTTTTAAGATTTCCTACGCTATAGGATCCTTTCCTCAGAAAAATGGGCACAACTGTGAAAGCTCCCATCCCTGGTTCTTAGATTAAGAACGTCCTGATTTACTAGCTAGCATTTAAATGGTGTGAGGTCTGCAACTGACTATTTTAAAACATCAGCAAAACGAACTGTGTCACAATGTTAAAAAATTTTAAATCGACTAGCTGGTGTAGCTCAGTGGATTGAGTGTGGGCTGCAAACCAAAGGGTCCCCAGTTCAATTCCCAGTGGGGCACATGCCTGGGTTGCAGGCCAGGTCTCTAGTAAGGGGTGCATGAGAGGCAACCACACATTGATATTTCTCTATAAAAAAAAAATTTAAATCAAGATGGTGGGTTTACAGCAGTTCATTATATTACTTTACTGTAAGAAATCGTAAAGGAGCCCTGGCCCAGTATCTCAATTGGTGAGGGCGTGCCCCGCCCCCGCCCCACCTCCACCAGAGGCCAAGGATGCGGTCTGGTCAGGGTACAAAAAAAAGCCACCAGCCCTGGCTGGTGTGTGGCTCAGTGGATTGAGCGAGAGCCTGCCAAAGAAACAACCGCAGTTTGATTCCCAGTCAGGGCACATGCCTGGGTTGCAGGCCAGTTCCCAGCAGGGGACCCACGAGAGGCAACCACACATTGATATTTCTCTCCCTCTCTCCTTCCCTTCCCCTCTAAAACTAAATAAATAAAATCTTTAAAAAATAATAAAATAAAATCTAAAAAAAGCGACCAATGAATGCATAAAAAGTGAGACAACAAACTGATGTTCCTTGTTCTCCCTTCTTCCCTCGCTCTAAAAAAAAAAAAGGAATAAGTAAGAAAAAAGAAATCTGAGCTCCGCCTGGTGTGGCTAAGTGGACTGAGTGCCCACCCTTGAAATGAAAGATTGCGGTTCCGTTCCCAGTCGGGGCACATTCCTGGGATGCCGGCCAGTAGGGGCCCAGCGAGAAGGAATGCAATGTTATCTCTCGTACTCCGATGTTTCTCTCCTTTCTCACTCCCTTCCCCCTTCTCTAAAAGAAATGAAATCTCTCTAAAAAAAAAAAAAAGAAACCTGAAATGATAATAAAAGAAAGTAGAAAACCCACACGATCTGGCCCAGTATCCTTCCCTCCCCAATGCAGCCGATCCGGACACCAGGGGGGTCTTACCGGATCTGCTCCATGGCTTCCCTCGTCAGAGTCCTGGGTGGGGCACCTGGCGCCTCCATTTGCCTCCGAATTTGCTGGAACCGAATGGCTTTTCTCTGTCGTTTCAGGGCGCTGGAGAAGAGAACCAATGGCAGGAGCCATGCGTGGAAGGAGGCTGGGTGGGTGAAGAGTCTCGGGCTAAATCACGGAGTGCTAGCCCTCCTCTTTGTTCACCGCCCCAGAAATCGCACACCTAGAACTTGGGCCAGCCGAACTCTCTAAACGGGTGATGAAATACGTCACTGGTGAGGGGACCCGTGGTCCCAAAGGAGCTGAATACCTGCCCCTGCGTCTCTGATCAGGGTAAGAAACAAGGGCCGCTGCAAACGCAACGGCTGGACGCCCGGCGCCAAGGAGACGCGGCCTAGATCGCCGGGGCGGGAGACCCTCCTTCAGGCTGAGGGCCCGGAAAGGAGCTGGTACCTCTCCACCTCCTGCAGCTCCCGCTCCTCCGGTTCCCAGTCGGAATCGGGGTCCGGCTCGCGGCCGATAGAACCTGGGCCTGCCACCCCTCGGGTCGCGAAGCCCCAGGGAGCTACGACAGCGCGGACACGTCCGGCGAAGACGAGACCCAGGGTACCCGCCATGTTGACAGAACCGCCTGCGGCCGAAAATGCTGCAGCAGCGAAGCCAGACGGCGGAACCGGAAGTGGAAGGGCTGGAAGGAAGGGGGGCGGGGGCGCACATCCTTCCAGCTTCCGGCGGAAGGTGGACTCTGGGCTTAGGGACCTCCGCGGCCCACCCTTCCCTGCAGAAACTATGGGTAGGACTTTGCTAAGACGCGCGAGTCTGAATGAGGTGGAGGACGATCCTGCAAAACGGCATAAACTTTAATAAAAAGACGGGTTCAACTGCCGAGAGCCAACCCTTCCCCACAAGGGCAGCCCAGGCCGGCCAGTCTCCCCAACAACGGAAGGACGTCCCCAAGGCGGTCTTCTGACGGCGACAGCCCCGTGCCTTGGGCACTCGGCTCCTCTGGGTAAACCAGCTCGGTCTCCGTCGCAGCTACTCAACCCCAGCACCATGAAAACAGACATAGACAGACAACCTGCACATACCTGCGCAACCTGTGAGATGGCCCGAGAGCCTGAAGGTGCCAACCGTCCCCGGGGGTCACGGACCCTGGGTCCCATCTCTGGGTCAGGACTGGAAGGTGCCTCCCTCCCCCACCCTGGGGGGCAGGCCAGTGTCAGCACAAAGAAGGCTTAGCCTGGTGGACACAGCAGCAGTCCTCAGGCAGGTCCAGAACCAGGTGAGTCACATCCCCGGGTGGAGCCTTGTCCTGCCCCAACATTGCGTGATGGTGTCCAGGTGAGCCCAGGGGAGTCTCGAGTGCAGCCGTCCTCAGCTCCTAGCACGCTCCCGCTCCTGGTGCGCTCCTGGTGCGCTCCTGGTGCGCTCCTGGCGCGCTCCTGGCGCGCTCCTGGCGCGTTCCCGGCGCGCTCCCGCTATCGCTATCGGGCTGTGAGCATCTTCCCCATCCCAACACCATAGTGCAGTCAGATAGGAGGCAGGATGTGCAGACACTGGGCCAGGGTTTCAGGCCAACGTGAGGGACACAGTCCCAGTGAGGGGGCGTAGGTCAAGAAGGGAGGGCCTCTGCCACGGGTGGTAACGGGAAGCCTGTCCCCACGCAGGTGCCAGGAGAGCTGCCTGAGCTGCGAAGGCTCCTGCAGGAACTGCAGCCGTAGTAAGACGGGCTTCACGCAGTTGGGGCCCTCGTGCATCGCCAATCACACAAAGGGAAAGGGAAAGAAAATATGAGGAAGGCAGCCCTGCCCCTCCTGGGGCTGACCATCCCCCATCCCGGGTCCCCTCTAGCCTTCCTCCCTTCCTGTGAGGCCTCTCTCATTGATCAGACACACATCCCAGCCACAACCCAGCTGCTGCGGGTCAGTTTGTTGAGTGGCTCTTAAAAATGATTTTTGCCTTGGCTGATGTGGCTCACTGGATTGGGTGCCAGCCTGCAAACCAAAGGGTCACCAATTTGATTCCCAGTCAGGGCACCTGCCTGGATTGTGGGCTGGGTCCCCAGTAGGGGGCGCAGGAGAGGCAACCACACATTGATGTTTCTTCCTCCCTTTCCCTCTCTCTAAAAATAAATAAATAAAATCTTTTAAAAATCAATTAAGTTAAACACATGCTGGTTTGTACACATTTGGCACTAGGCATATTTCTCAGGCATTAACCATTCCCTGTGCGGTAGGTGTCGTGTGTCTTGCACCTGCGCTGTGAGTGCAGTCACTGGGGTTTCTGTGCAGCCTGTGCAGAAGCCCGGCAGGGAGTCAGTTCTGTGCAGGAGCTGCTCCTTTCCTTAGGTGTCACTGGATACTGGGGTGGTGGGGATGGGCCCAGACCACTTCAGCCTATGACCTTGGACATGGTTTCGTCGTTATGCCTCTGTCGCATGAGCAGGGAGGGAGTTGGAAGAAAACTTTCTGAAGTTCTTCCCCACACGGGGGTCTGAGATCCTCTGAGCAATGGCAATGACTCAGAAGAAACCATTACCTAACTTCCTTGTTGCTTTAACTAAGGGCCGGTGTGTTCCGATTTCAGCCATGTAGGAGAGGGGCTTGATCAGGCCCTGCCCTGGCTGACAGAACTCGTTCTCACCAACAACAGTCTTGTGGAGCTGGTAAGTGGATTGAAAAGCGGAAGTGGATCTAGACGGAGGAGGTTAAAGGTTCTGCATTCCTGCAGGAAGTCTGTTAATTCCAGAAGGTTATCTCATCATCCTTTTTCTTTTTCTCAGTTCATTCAGACGTGGGCCTTTCTCAGTTGCAGCTGTCCTTTCCCACTCTGTAGGTTGCCTTTTGACTTCCTCAGGGTATCTTGAGGAGTATTTCCTAATTTTGGTGTAGTCCAATTTATTGTCTTTTTTGCTATTGTTGTTTCTAGAGCTTTTGATGCTCTATTAAGCGCCCCCTCCTACCCCAGGGGGCCATGAAGAAACTCGCCCGTTTCATCCTGTGGAATTGCAGTGCCGGTGGGGTGGCCCCTGGCCCCGTGGCTGATGAGGGCGGTGCGTCAGAGCTGCCAGCTGCACGCCAGCTTTCAGCTTGTGCCACAGAGAAGCAGGAAATGGTGGCAACTGCCAGTGCTTTTGTTCTATGCATGTTGAAATGATCATATTTTGAAAATAGGTTAAATAACATTAAAATTAATTTCATTTGATTTTTCTATTTTAATGTAGTTATTAGTGAAAGGTTTTCTTAGGCTCCGCTGAGGAAGAAATGCCAATTAGCCACAAAGTTAGGTAGTGTAGAGCTTTATGGCTGGGGCGAGGTTCCCCAGTCCGCAGAATGGGGCCAGGGAAGTCTGCTCAAGCAGGGAATGTGGCGGGTTTTATTTTGGTTGGCTCTCTTCCTGGGAGCTGGGGATTGGTCCCCTTTTAGCAAAGCGGCAGTATATCATTGGTGGTTCTCCAGCACTGGTCGCTATGCAGAGAAAGCCGTCTTCATCCGGCTGGGTTGACGTCAGCCGTCTTTTCCACATTGTAGTTAAGCTGCCGCCAGTTTACCCTACCCCGCCCACCCTAACAATTAGGAAATGTGAAATTACGTATGTGACAGGCGTTAAATTTTGTTGGACGAGTCTGTTCTAGAACCTCATGTTTTGCTCTTCGCATTTAGATCAACAATCCACAATACTCAGCTTTGGTTTTCCTGTGAGATAAGGGGCAAATTTCATTTTTCCTACTTATATCTGAATATTTTGACCTATTTTTTTAATGCTTTTTAAATTTCTTCTCCATACGTGTAGGTTTTAACAAAAGTGAGCCCGTACTGTGTTTTGTTTTGTAACCAAAATTTTCCACTGAAATACCGGATGTTTAGGTCCCTCTTACATAACTTGACTTAAGGTTGTTTTTTCCTCACCTCCCTTCCCTAGTTTTCTGATTGTTCCTTTCCGGGTGGGTCGACTACGTTTGCGACTCTTCAGATTCCCAGCGAGGTGCTGGGCTCCAGAGTAACACAGCACTGGCCGGTCTGAGGCCCCGCCCTTTCTGAAATGACGTGAGGGCGTCAGCGCAGAGTGCACACTCGCAGGAAAAATGGGGCACGCCAGGGGCTGCTCGCGTGGTTCTGTGCCTTGCAACAGCATTTAAAGCGCAATGAGGAAGGCTGAGAGTCTGTCCTCTCGGTTCCTGAAAGAAGTGATAAATCTCGCGTGATCATGGACTGGACAGTCACCATGGAGTTCCATCAGTTTTAGTTTTTTGTGTCCTCAGGTTATCGTCTTTGACATACACAGAGTTTAAATTGTTAGTGCCTTCCTGGGGAGCTGAACCGCTTTATCATCATGTGTGACCCTCTTTGTGCCCTATTAGGGCTGTCGTGTGTCGCTGCCGTATCTGCCATGGTGCCCCGAAACCAGCTTCCTGTCTGTTCGTACTCGGTGATCAGTCCTTTCCCATCCGAAATAGACCACAGTGTTCATTTCCTTTCTGTTTCAGGTGTGTCTCTTGAGAACGGCATATGATGGGACATTTTAAAGTGCGACCAGAAATTTGTCTGAAATAATCAGCTCCTTGATGTTGATGTGACTACAGGCGTGTCTGTGTTTGTCCTTTTTCTGGGACTCGTCCTGCTCGTTTGTTGTTCTTTTCCTCTCCCTGGTTTCTCCCTCTCACTCTTTTGCACTCACTCTTTTTGTTCATTCCATTTTTTCTTTAATAGTTTAGAAATCATTACTAAACTAGTCTCTATTCTTAGCACTTTAGGAAGGAAATCGTACGTATTTACCGAAGCTTAAAGTTAACCGATACCTTCCCCCTTCTAGCAGTACAGGGTGGTCCTTACACATTTCAAACCCCCACCCAACTTACTATGTATTTATTATGTTTTTTAAAAACCCACCTGGACGTCATCACTGTTGAGATAGAAGCTGGTGTGGCCAAGGTGTTCCGTGTATGAAGTTCAAGTCTATGTGCCAGTTCACTGGGTAGAAATGTGTCAGGTCCTGGAGCAGAAAGAAAGTAAAAGACGAGACGAGTCTGAAGGCATCGCCGTCTCAGAGTGTAGAACAGGGCGCGGCGCCTGCCTTCTCACCTGCGGCTGTTGTCTTGCAGGGCGATCTGGACCCCTTGGCATCTCTCAGGTCACTGACTTACCAAAGGTACCGGGCTCGCTCGTGGTGGAAACATGGAAGCCCTTCGACATGACACCCTTCCGGCCTTGACCTTAGAGCCTCCAGTTCATAAAAAGTACCTTTGACTTTGCTGTACACCTACCTCTGAAACCAATACAAATAACATCGAATGTAAACTGAAAGGGGGGAGCAAATTTTTTTAGTTAAAATTTTTTATTTTAAAACTTATACATGAATATTAATTTTTATGCCACAAAAAAAAGGCACTTTTTAAAAACAAATATTGAATATATATTTTTTAGCCTAGTGCTTAAGTCACATTGGGGACACTTGTCCCCAATGTCACGTAAATTGTTAGGACATTGAAATTAAATGTGAAGGATAGTGGACTTTTCCTTGATTTACGGACTCATTAGATTTTATTAAAAGGGACCTTTTGAATGCTATGCTGCGAACAAGGTGGACATGATAGTATTTCTTTTCTCGTAGTCTTCTGAGAAATCCCGTAACAAATAAGAAGCATTACAGACTGTGTGTAATTTATAAAGCCCCACAAGTCAGAGGATGGATTTCCAGAAGGTGAAACTAAAAGTATTATTTTGTTGATCGTAAGTCATATTGATTTGTGTGGGTTTTTTAAAAGATTTTATTTATTTATTTTTAGAGAGGGAGAGGGAGGGAGAAAGAAAGGGAGAGCAACATCGGTGTGAGAGAGAAACACAGGTTGGTTGCCTCCTGCATGTGCCCCGACCGGGAATTGAACCTGCGACCTTCCGTTTTCTGGGACAACACCCACCCCACTGAGCCACACCGGCCAGGGCTGGTTCATGTTTTTGATACCTGATACTTGTTCACTCATTTATTAAAATTGCCTAATGAGTTTTACTATCGGTTTGGAATAAAAAGGTGGGGAAGAAAATGTCAGATTTTTCTCACAGCGGAGCCTGTGGTAGGGCCCTGAGTTAAACCTGTCACATGTGGCGTCCGGCACCCCAGGGGTGGCACTGGCTCAGAGCCCCAGTGAGCGCCGGCGACAACAGACTGTTCCCGCTGGGAACGTAATGCTGTCCATTTTGGGGCATCTTGAATCATTACAATGATTCCCCTTAGTTGGGAATTTTGTTTCTCTTTTAAAGCTTCTTAGTTCTTTGGGAGCCGCTCCTCAAAACAAGGAGAGGAGGGCTTTTTTGTTCCAGGAGCTTCGCCAGAGAAGGCAAGGCCACAGTGTCTCCTTTGAACTTGGAATTGGCTTTTTTGGTATTTTTACTGGCCCAAAATATTCCAAAAGAGTTTCCTTCCCTGTTTTCTGAGGGATGCATCCAAATACACGTGGTGTTCCTACTTCTGCTACCTCTGTGCGCGGTGTTGCTGTAGGAACGTCAGGTGCACAGCTTGCAAAGGATATGGTCGCCTCCTACAGAAGCAACAAAACACCTGTCACTGATCCCACATGAAATTTGTGTGATGCGAGTCCCTGACCCTCAGCGGTCCCTGCGTCACATGAGGTTTCAACCAGGTTCACGGAACAAACATTTCAGTGTCCAGTCTTAGTGTCCTGTTACACAGGCCCTGCTGTGTGAAGGAGACAGCTGCTTGTATCCGTTTGTTAACAAAGATAAGATACTATGCTGGTTGAGTTTTACTTTCAAAAACTTTTTGAAAGCAAAAGACAAGCAGTTTCCATCCATCTGGGTTTGACAGTTACATCCTTCCCTCTCCGAAGGTTCGATCCAGGTGCCAGTTTGCTGACTGACAAAAAGAAAGGAGGCCCGTCCCCGGGGGATGTGGAAGCGATCAAGGTAATAACGGTGCGTTAGAACTCGGCCCAATTTCAGCCCCAAGAGCGGCTGCCACGGGTGTAAGACACACAGATACGTAATCTGAACACCGCCAATGTCCCCCACCGTTGTTAGAACCCAGCTGCTTTTGTGTATAAGAAGAAATGAACTAGAAGCTGTTGTTTGACCAGGCTTTGACCTGAGCCAGGGAAGTGGAGGCAGCTCTGGTTGCCCTCATGTCCCCAGGACGTGAGCTTTTGAACAGTTGGCACCTTTGGACACTGTGCCAATGTTTGCTGTAGTTTTTGCTTCGAGAGATTTACTGTCTCAAAGATCCTGCTTGATAATTGTACAGTGTTGCCTGCTAAATTATCCAGTAACGTAATCCCAGTAGGTAACTCAGTTTGCTGGCATTTTAGGACATATGAAATGATGATTTTTTTTTGTCCTGTTTGAAGGTCTGCATTTATCAATTTTGGAAATGTAATGATTTGTTTTCTGCTCGACCCACACTGGCAAAGGCAGCCTCGCACACTTGAATGGAAAGAGGCCCCTGTGGGCACAGCCCCAGGTGGCAGATGGGGGGCTGGCAGACGAGCAAGCACGCATGCGCTGAGCTGGGTGCCGGATGCGTGAATGAGTTGGGGTGGTGGGCAGTGAGCTTGACTTCCATACAACGCCTGTGCGATCTTTTCCTTTGGGAACTGACCGTCCCTTTGCATACCTGCCAGAGCCCAATGGTCGCTGGGCCATGAGCATCTGGAGGGCCGAGGCTGCTGTTGGGCTTCCGTGCCTTGCGTGGGGCTTGGCACGCAGGAGCCCCATGGGACGCGCACCCACGGGCTGAGAGAGCGCGTTCCCTGACGCCCACGTGACTCTGCCTTTGTGTTTTCCTCCAGGCCCCACCGATGATGGCGAAGAGGAGATGGAAGGGGACACAGTCACAAACGGGTCCTGAGCAGTGAGGCCTGGGTATCCACAGGCCATGCAGGATCGGCCTGGGATAAATCCTGCGTTTTGAATGTGGAACAGTAGCCTCGTTTGTGTCGGCAAAGAGTCCCCGAGCATTGTTGAAATGCCGCAAGCTGCTGCGGGTCATTTCTTAATATACAATTGGAAATTCAGATGCCTGTTTTCTACAAAGAGTAACAATAAAGGACACTCTCTGTGCTGCCAAGTTGCATGTCATTGGGTTGGGCGTGTGGGGAGGTGTGTGGGCGCCTTTAAGTGGGAAATGCAGGAGGGCATCGTCTCTAACTAGACTTCCTGGTCCTCAAGGAAATGCTTAGATCGGGATGTCAGACTCACTATTCCTGGGGGCCACATCAGCCTCACGGTTGCCTTCAAAGGGCCGAAATAATTTTTGGACTGTGTACATGTGACTACTCCTTAACTGTTAGGGACTCGAAATCACGGTCCACCCTTGGAAGGCAACTGCAGGGCTGCTGTGAAAACTTAATAAAACTCGGGAGTGTGGGCTGCCAGTGACTGGGAGAACCTGCCAACCCTGGATCATTCTCTTCTGTGTAAAGAATAGTGAGCTTCATTCCAGGCAGCCGGGCTTTAGGGCTTTACCAGAACCAGCATCCTTTGGAGTTTTTATTTCATAAACATTATGCAAATTCATCACTGATTTGAAGAACTGGAGGGGGACGCAGCTTTCCCTTGTCAGCTGAGGGAATGCAGAGCGGCACGTGCCAACGTTCAGGACGTCGTCACGGGGGAGTCCCCGCCATCCCCATGGGCCGGCCAGGGCAAGGGTCCTCACAACTCCACGCTTTATCACAATTCCCACCCTGTTAGAGCCCATTGACTCTCCTCTGAAAATGGTGGTGCAGGTGAGGGCCTCCACCCCAGAACTTGGGTTCTAGTTGGCAACCACCGTTTGCTCACACAGCTGGCTCTGCTTTCCCCACCGGTCTGTGAACAAGCTGGTTAACTGGGCAAAGGTGCAAGATTACTTCTGCCTACTTGCCATTGGCCCAAGCAAGACACCTGGCTGCATCCCCAGTCAAAGGCTGGGGAACTACACTTCTCCCACCTAGAGGCTGTGGTGAGGATATGGTTGTAAAGTGATGCATTGGGGCAAGTCAGTCTTTTTTTTTTTTTATTTTTATTTTTAAAGATTATTTATTTTGAGAGGAAGAGAGAGAGAAAAACATGTGTGTGGTTGCCTCTTGTGCGCCCCCTACTGGGGGCCAACCAGGCATGTGCCCTGACTGGGGAATGGAACTGGCAATCCTTTGGCTCACAGGCCAGTGCTCAATCCACTGAGCTACACCAGCCAGGACAAATCAGTCTTAACATGGTCAGTCAGTGATGGGATTCTGGATGCTACCTTTGACCTGTTTTGGCAAATAACACCTGAGCAGCTGTATTGAACAATTGTTTGCTGAAATAACTGTGGTTCTTGGCAAGCTAGGGGAGAACATGCCCTGATTGTAGGGACAAAGGTTAGAAAGAATGGGACCACAGAACGACAATATGCGAGGGATTGAAAGGGGACACCATCATTCATGCATTCTAATAACTCGAAATCTATGAAATCCGAGTTGAATAAGCCTGTCATACTGTGTGCATCTGCATGCAAACGCAGATGCACCGTGCTGCAGCTCATATTACAATGGAACCCTGGTTCTTGAACTTAATTTGTTCTGAAAGGCTGCTTGAGAAGCAATTTGTTAAAAAACCAAATTATTCATACTCGTGCATCTTCTCCATCATCACCCGAGAGACACAAAAATGTTTGATCACACAAACATTTTTTCTGTCAATGACCTCGTTGAGAATGAAATTGTTCAAAATGAGAGACAGTGGCCCTGATTGGTGTGGCTCAGTGGGTTGGGCAATGTCCTGTGGACCAAAAGGTCAGCCATTTAATTCCAGGTCAGGGCGTATGCTTAGGTTTTGAGCCAGGTCCCCAGTAGGGGGCATGTGAGAGAACAGAAACATCAGAAACATCGATGTTTTTCTTACTCTCTCCCCCTCGCTCTAAAATTAAATAAAATATGGGAGGGGGGCAGGAGAGAGACTGTCTTACTAAAAAGAAAAATAAAAAGGTGGGAGACATCTGAGAATCAGGGTTTGACTATATTGAAAGCTGCTTCCAGACCAAGTATTACAACCATAAGCCCAAGAAATCATTCATTTTTAGCACAGGTTCTTCAAGATGCCACAAATAAATGAAAACCCACCTTAAAGCAATGAGCGATGGCGCACCTTTTAGGAGTGAAAAGAAAACATTGAGAAGTAGGCTTTAGCCGTGGCCAGATAGCTCAGCTGGTTAGAGCTTTGTCTTGATACGCCAAGGTTCTGGGTTTAATCCCCAGTCAGAGCACACCTGATAGCTCAACCAACGAGTGCATAGACAATGAATTGGAAGTTCTCTCAAATCAGTAAATAACAAATTTTTAAAGAGGTGTAAAAAATTCAACCTAATAAATGTGAAGATCTAATTGTTTATTAAGTGAGTCATGATCAGGCAGCATCTTATCTAGCAACTAGAAGGGCACTCAGAGGGGCTATAAACAAAGTGGAAGGTTTTTACGGTAGGAAAGGTGGGGCAAGGGAGCTACTGAAAAAGGAAAGGGGAGTCTTTGAGGTCTTGCTCCCCTGGTATATGTTGCCAGCTTGGCTCAAATTTAAAATAAAAAAGAAAGAAAGGATTATTAGATGGGGGAGCCTTTTTGGGGGGAAGGAAAGAGTTTTCATCATGCAGATTGCCTCTTCTTCCTGGGGTGGGGATGCAAGATGTGACAGATGCTTTACTGGTGCCTGACCAGAAAGTTCCAGACTAGTTAACTATGTTTCTGGGAGAGATTGAGACAGCAACTAGGTCAGGTATTAAAACTAGGTTTGGTATCATGGGAGCCTATGGTTTTCTCTTTAAAAATTTCTGTCAGCTTTTGAGACTGCTAGATATGTTCACTTCAAAACCTTTCACTCCAAAAGAACCCTCCACATCAAATTACATATAGGATAGGATAAGGTAGGCCTCAGAGGGGGGTGGCAGGTGAGAGTGGAAATGGGTGGAGGGCATTGCAGGCAGTGACAACGGCACCAGTAACCGCGAGTGTTTTGTGACAGTGAAATTGAGTGTTAGAGCCATTGCTGTTATTCATCTCAAGAGGTTTTGATTCTGTAAGGGAGGAGAAACATGAGGATCGACGGGACTTTCTTAGACTAAACGGTAACAGTGGCAGCAGGAGCAGGCTGCCCCGCTTGAGTACAAAAGTAAATTTGGACAAAAGTCCACGAGTAGGTCAGCGATGCTTCCCCTGGGAAGACAGGACGCACCGCTGCGCTGTGCTCAGACAGCCCAGGACTCTCCCGGGCCCTGGCCCCGCCCACTCCCCTGCGATTGGTCAGATCACCGATACCACGCCCCCGACTACATATATACGTGGGGCGGGCCGAGACTGACGGCGCGTAATTCGGCTGAGCTCTGGCTGCCTCGGAACCGGACTGGGAGCAGGTTGCTGCGCGCCCGCTTCTCCAGATGGCGGGGTTGCGTTTTTTGCATGTCACTGGTGAGTTGCCGCAGGCCTCGGGGAAGCGGGACGGCGCTGCTATGTACGGTGCGTCTGCCTCCGCGGCGCGCCGGACCCGGCTCGGGCCTAGGCCTGGGGAGGCCTTGGCCCTCCTGGAGTCGCATTTTCCTGGGCGGTGCCGTCCGGCTTTTTATTTACTTTTTGGGGAAGCAAGCTCTTGGGCTGCGGTTTCTGGGATCGCTGGGCATTGGTGTTTGTCTCCAGCCCTCATTGCCCAGCCCGCCCATACTTGTAACAAACACCCCGCCCCAGCCCCCCACGGCCACCCCTTTCTCTCCGTTCCCGGGGCCTGAGAGGCTTCTGCCCTCCTGAGTTGCAGGAAGTCTTCTCTTTACCCCCAGTAGTATCATTTTTTTAGCTTCTTGCGAACGGTTTTCTTTTTTTTTCCCCCTCCAGTGGGCTCTCTGCTGGCCACCTACAGCTGGTACATCGTCTTCAGCTGCTTCCTTTTGTACCTGATTTTTCAGAAGTTATCAGCCTTGATGCAGAGGCAGCTGGACCGAGCCGGCTACTGTGGGTTAGTAACTGATTGCAAATCCGGGCTGTTAGGAGTAAGAAGTATGGGAAGGAAAGCTTTGTGCGCTTCTGAAATCGATTTTGGTGAACGTGCAACAGATTGTCTCACGTCAGAGATTTTAATTGGGGGGGAGGGGAATCTGCCTGGCGGTGCATGTCTTGTTGGAGGGTTTTTCATTTATAGGATGGGTTAAATTGAAAAGTTCACTCATGGGTCTGCCTGCTAACTCTGAGTTGTCTTTCAGACGTTTGTGAGTGAGGAGAAACTCAGGTTTAGTTCTTCATAGTCATATTTTGATTTATCACAACTCACTCATCAGACCTGACTTCAAATTATACTTGGTTATTTAAAAATCATTCTCTCTGAGCCCTGGCTGGTGTGGCTCGGTGACTTGAGCACCGGCCTGTGAACCAAAGGGTCACCAAGTCAATTCCCAGTGAGGGCACATGCCTGGATTTCGGGCCAGGTCCCCAGTGGGGAGTGCCTGAGAGGCAACCACACACTGATGTTTCTCTCCCTCTCTTTCTCCCTCCCTTACCCTCTAAAATCTTTTTAAAAATAATTTTCTCTGAAATGGTAGCTTTTTTCACAACTTAGAAACTAGTTTGAAGCTACAGTTTGAGGACGTCCCAAAGAAATGTTAAGTGCTTTGAGAATAGCGGCATAATTAAATACAAATGGCGCTCATCTGGGTCACCATGGTTACAGAGGTTGGGGTGGAAAGCAGGTGTAGTGACCAAATAGTCATTCATTCCAACGTGCCTCTCTCCACTCTCCCCAAAGCCTGTGGTCCTGCCATTCTCAGTCTTTTTGGTTGTTGGCTACATGCATGTCCACCACAAAGTTAACAGTACAATTGTAAATCTTGTGTAAGATGCAGGATTTCATGAAGTGGCAGGTGGTGGTGATGGGATTGCACATCAAAGAGGATCGTTTTTAGGAAGCACTACAGAGCGTAACTGCAGCAAAAGGTGGTGTGTTGTGCTACCCAAGTTTGTGGGAAGAAGAATAAAAAACTACACTTGATGGATTTTATTCTAAGAATAGGCCAACAGAAATGGCACTGAAACTTACATTTCTATAAAATGGAAGTGTAGCTTTGTTTTTTAAAGATTTATTTTTAGAGAGAAGAGAAGGGGGGAGAGAGAGAAACATCAGTGTGTGGTTGCCACTCCCCCTGTTGGGAACCTGGTCTACAACCCGGGCAGGTCTACTAACTGGGAATCAAGCCAGCAACCCTTTGGTTTGCAGACCAGCACTCAATCCACTGAGCCACACCAGCCGGGGTGGTTTTCTTTTGAAAGTTTCAGTCAGCTCTACAACCACTGCGCGCGCATGCACACGCACACACGCCTGCATTATTTTTATGATATTTTGGCCCCTTTTTTATGTGGACTCAGTTTAATGGCCTTATTTTTCTACTACCTGTAGGGAATGTTGATCACCTGTAGTAAAAATTGCAGTCAAATCTCAGTTCTCAAATGTCTTGGTTTTTGAACAAAACTTTTGCTTCTCGACCTGACAACTTTGTTCATGCCGACATTGGTGTGATCAGCCAGTCACCTGTAATAATCAGTTTTCAAACCGGTCGCTTCTCAAACAGTCTCTGGAACAAACTGAGTTGGAACCTCAGTTCCATTTTCTTCCCTATTAGATATAATGTCAACTGAAGTAACTTGTTCCAAACCCCTAAATGATTCCGTTTCAATCTTTCTTACATACAGTACATGTCTAATGTACTGTTTAGTCTGTAAGACATATTAAAAACAAAGAGACCATGAAATGTAAAGGAAAAGTTAAACAGGAAAATGAAATGTCTGGTAAAACATGAACATCTACACACACTAGAACTTACCTTTAATGCTGAAAGCGATTGATGACTGAAGGTGGGGAGGCAGGATGGAGGAATGTTATGTTATTGTTTGGAAGGGGAGTCAACATCTTCCATGAGAAACATCAGGTAGCCTTCCCCAGACTTCCTGAATTGGAGTTGCTGAGGGAAGGGTTTCTGGTGCTAGGAACGCTGGCTGTGTACAGTCTGCCCTGTAAGCAGCCAAATTATATGGGGAATGGTAGGCTTCTGCAGGTAGAAACATTTTTGCACCATCTGCTGTCTGTGCTTTAATGAGTCTATATTATGAGTCTGTAGTCTTAGGAATTTACATTTTATACAAATGCTTTTTTAAAAAATATTTATTTTTCGAGAGAGGGGGAGGGAAGGAGAAAGACTGGGAGAGAAACATCAATGTATGGTTGCCTCTCATGCATCCCCTGCTGGGAACTGGCCTGCAACCCAGGCATGTGCCCTGACTGGGAATCGAACCTCAATACTCTGGTTCGCAGGCCCGTGCTCAGTCCACTGAGCTATGCCAGCCAGGGCTACAAATGCTTTTTAAGCTCTTAATTTTTTTTTTTCCCATTCATGGCAGAACCTGACAATGCTGTGAAACGACAAGAGGCCTTAGCAGCCACTCGCCTGAAAATGCAGGAAGAACTGAACGCACAGGTGGAAAAGCATAAGGAGACACTCAGACAGGCATGAAGCGCTTCGCGTAGGTGGCTCTAACGATGTGAGGCTGAGTGAGTGAAGCCGTGTGCACACCCTCGGGTGGGGCCTGGGACCAGCTTGTCTGCAGCACCATCTCCAGTAGAAACAGGGAGTTTCCTGTTGGGGCAGAGACTCGTGGTTCCCTCACAGCAGGCCTCACGTAACAGGTCTGCGTGCGTGTGTAGATGCCACGCCACCAGACACACACGGTACACGTTCTGTGTGCCACATGTGAAGCTGTGTGCCACATGTGATCTGTTCTCCTGGGGGGCCACGCTGCAGTGGATTGAAGGGTTCATTGGGTGTTTTGAAAGGTCTTTCTAAAAGCACAGGGTGTGGTTTGGGGACATTTGTAGAAGTCACACACCACCCCTGAGAAGTGTAGACTCTTTTTCAATCCAGATGTTTACTTCTGGGCTCCTCTCTTCCCTAAGGCAGCACCAGAGCTGGTCCCTGTCTCGGTCCTGTGCCCTCCTCCCACTTTCCTTTTGTTGCTTCTGTGGTCATCCAGCCTGCAGCTGCTCTTCCCAGCCTGCTAACCACACCTGACCCCTTCTCATCACACTGTTCCAGCAGCCTTTTTCCTGGGTCACCTCCTTGCTCATCTTCTGCTAACCCAAAATGCACACTTCCTTTGATCCTTTCAAAGCACGGGTTTGGTCTCTGTGAGCTGCTGGAGGTCACACAGACCTCTGTGAGGAAGGGCCGGGGGTAGAGGCCTTGCTCTCCCCTCCAGGATGCTCATTTTCTGGGACATCTGGTCAACCTACTGGAGCCCCTGCTTCTTTTACTGGGACATCTGGTCGACCTACCAGGGGGCCCCTGCTCTTTCTTCTAATTCTACCTCCCTTCTCTTCTCTCCTTCATTTCTCCCCCTTCTCCAATCATTACATTTTTGGTGTGTCTTCAAACCCCATCAACACATCCACTGGGCAGCAGTCTTAATGGCACACAAGTAGAGTTAGGGGATGTTTTTAGAATCACTGCACTAAGGAATCCCACACACAGTAAGTGCAGAGCTCTCTTTTCTGCACAGCACAGCACTTGGCTCAGGCTCATTATTCTCTGCTTTCTCTCACGCTGCACCATCCTCTCAATAGTCCCCACCCAAAAGGAACAAAGGGTATGAAATAGCCTCTCATTTTCAGGGTCACTTTTGTCATGGGGTCCCCTGGTACTACCCTCAGCTTCCCCATACTGCCAGGCGGCACCCCACTTCAGTGTACAGGGGAGCAGGGCCAGCCCTTCACTGCTAATCTACTGGTCTCTGAGCAGCTTTCTTCTGTTCACCCACACAGCACTCCACAGATGCTGTCTTCAGCTGGAGTGTTCCCTAACTTCTATTCCACTTTCAGGGTGGGGCCACGGCTCCTGTTATTCTAAGAGGCCTACTTTGGATTCACAAGTCACCAAATAGTGGGGGAAAGTGGCTAATTTGGTAACTCGTCACCCCACATCACCATGGCAAAGACCAGGGGCAGTGTGTTCTCACAGAGATACGCACCTCTGTTTGGTGGAAATTATTCCCTCTGCTTCCTCTCAGGTTACAGCCCTTCGTCCGGGGAAGGAGGTGGAGCCTGCTCCTGGAGACCTGGATGGAGAGGCTAGGAAACCTTGCTGGTGTCCACTTAGGCCACTTAGCAAAGTGAACTCTTCAACCTCACTTCGATTGCCTTAATGCACACTTTTTTCACACTGACTAAAAAGCCCAGGGGACATCCCATTTATTTCTGTTCTTAACCTCCAGGTGCATCTTTCCGAGTTGAAGTCAGCAGTGCCTCTTGCCCACACGGGGGCAGCAGCTCACTTCACTTACTACTGACTTGGTCTTTACCACGGGTGAGCTAGGCACTAGATAACAAAAAAATGAAAGTAATGATCCTTTCAGATGTTCCAAGTTCTTATTGACAAGGACAGGCTCTGTGACAGGTGGCACTGAATGATGCCTTCCTTGTAATCAGTGAGCCCACACCAGCAAGGATTACTGAGGCTGGCAAGGTGATGGGGTGGGTTTTTTTTCACATACAGAAAACTTCAGGAAGTAAAAACCTTTAAACTCCGAAAAAGCAGTTTGCAAAGCAAGCATCCTTCCCTAAATTTAAGGAAACCTCTACAAAGAGTGGATTCCTGTAAGTCAGGCATTTATAAAAAAGGAGGCCTTATTATCAACATTTCAGCTCCCTTCTTTTCCCTGCTCACTGTCCCTGACCTGCAGTGACCACAGCTGGCACACAGTGACAGTGGCATCCAGGGTTGGCCCACTCCCAGGCACACTTGGCTTAGTTCCCAGACTGAGGTTGAGCTGCTCAGTACAGTTGCCTCCCCCCCCCAAAAAGGATGGGAAAGTGGAGCCAGAGCCTCTCAGACTGTGTCACACCTGGCAGCAGACAACATTCAGAGCCAAGGGTTGCAGCAGGAGCCCCCTGACGTACCCCAGCCTACACTGCCAGCTGCTTGGGCATGCAGGCTCTGGAGGGACCTGGAAGAGAACTAGGCTGGCTTTGCTTTATGTAGTAAATGCATGTTAAGGATTGAGCAAAGTCTCCCCTCCCCTCAAAAGGGGATCCAGAGCTGTTAGCACCTCAGCAAATGTGACCAAACTTGGAAACTGGGTCACTGCCAATGTCAGGCTGAGGAAACACTGGTCTGGCCCTGATCTAACTTGACAGCTGTTCTTCCCCAAGTGGAAGGCTGGAGATGGAGGGAGCTGCCACGCAGCCAACCTGATTGACAGCCACCACCAAGGCCAGAGACAGCCTGGGACACAAAGTGCCAATCACTGTAAACCACTTTGGGGGACACACATCACAGCAGAGCAGGCCCCCTGCAGCCTGGACAGGGCAGCAGGCTAGAAGCAGTGTTTCCAGTGTGGGGAGGAAGCAGTACTCGGGCTCCCACAGAGGGGGGGGTCTAAGTGAGCCAGAGCCCAGGGCACCAACATACCTCCACCCTTGGCTTCCAGCCCAGATTACCACATACACACCGACTGACGTCCTGTGCTGATCAGCCACTGGCTTGTCTCCTGGGCCACCCTGTTGGATCTGGGGCAGGTCACCCCTGGATCCGCACACTGAGGCCAATAGGGATGAAAGCAAGGCACACAGGTGAGGCCATTGGGAGGGTTCCAGGAAGGCTCTTCAGCTCCAGAAGACATGATGGGATCCACTCTCACCAACATGCAGGCAGCTCCATGATGACACCTGTCAGGACACAGGGGCCTCAGCACCTCCCATGCCAGCCACAGGCTTTACTCACACAGCGGGGGTTCTGAGGGTGAACCCCTGGACAGGACAAAGAGCACAAAGCAGCCTGAAGCAGAGAGCAGGCTTGGCCTGGCCCTTCACCCAGCCAGCACAAAAGCATGGGCCTCACACACATTTCCATGCCAGTGATGAAGCCAACTGGTTATTAAATGTCCTCTCACCAGGGGCATCAACTTCCCAGGCTGGGCCATGCAAAAGCCAGAGCTTCAGATACAGGGATTGGGGATGCTTCAGCATCTGCAGTAGCATCGGGAGCCCAACACGGCACTCACTTTTTCTAATTTGTGGTTTCATTAGGAAAACCCAAGGGGGACTGAGTTGCATGTTGGCCAAGCCCTGGTGGACCCAGACCAACCACTGGCAACAACCCATCATCTCTGAGATGGGACTGGGCCTCCCTCAGACCAAGTGGGCCCACCCACTCAGCAGAAACTGCAGCGGTGGCCTGAGACACCCCCCACACTCAGCCTCAGGGACCTGGGTGACGGCCCAGCAGTGGCACTCTTTCCAAAGAGGCTCCCACCACAAGCCACAGAAGAGTGAGCATCGAAGGCTTGCCGCCAAACACCAACCTGGTCAGGAAGAGCCCGTGTGGACAGGGCAGCAGTGGACAGAGATGGCAGCAAGGGGAGCCAGAGTTAGAGCATGCGTGGCCAGGACTCAGAGGACCAGTGCACCCCCTTGAGCCTGCACTGGGACACGGGACGATGCTCTTCACACACCACCAGACCAAGGGCATTGGGGGGGGGGGCAGTCACAAACCCCAGTCCCAAAGGTCCAGACCAGGGAGGCAGAGCCAGGCAGTCTACATCTTGCAAAGAAGAGAGGAACAGGATCCCAGTGACTCCTTTCCTCAAGGTGGAGTGTGCAGGACTATCTGTAGGTGACACTCCATACATCGTCCTTGGTCAGAAGTCCTCTGCTCTTACAATGCAACCCATTGTTGCACAGCACAGAAGGGCTAAGTCAGCGGGGTCCGTTCCACTGCTTCCCACGGAGTGGTCCTGGGCAGGACACGGAAGAGGGTCAAGGGCCGACTCGACAGCACAGGAAACACCAGTCAGCAGGGGCTGCTCCACAGCTTCCCATGCAGTGGTCCTGTACAGGGAAGAGCTGCCAAGGATGGGCCCAGTCAGTGGGGTCTCTTCTGCTGCTTCCCACACAATGGTCCTGGGCAGGGCACAGTGATCAGGTTCAAGGGCAGAACCGACAGCACAGAAGGGCCCAGTCAGCGGGGGTCCCATCCTCTCCTTCCCATACAGCGGTCCTGGGCAGAACCGCACTCACCACCTTCAGGCACAGGAGCCTGAAAGCTGGCACGTCCGAAGCCGGGGCAGAGCCATGCATCTGGTGTTAGTCAAACCTGGAGGCCTGTTCACAGAGCAGACTTTCTCAGCCACCCACTGTGGGGTGACCACTAATCTGGTGATACAAACCCCTCATTTCTGATGAAAAAAATACCTTGCCTGTTGGCGGGGCCAAGTTACAATGCAGGCGGCCATCCTGGAACCATGGCCCGGTCACTGATCCTCTCCACCACCCCATGGCCTCAGCCTCAGGGCTGCCAGGGCCATCTGGTCAACCCCATGGATGTGACAACAGAGCAGGCAAGAGCAGTCCCTTCAAGTCTCAGGATGGAAGCAAATTCCCGCAAAGGTGCCCCGATGACGGAACGCTTGTGAGGATCTGTCTCCCCTCAGAGCTCCCCCCGCACAGTCTGTGCCAGGTCCCACCTCCACAGTGAGCTGGGTCCCGCTGAGGGCACTTCTGGTGCCCTCTCAGCCCAGGGCCGTTTCCCACCTTTGGGCCCAGATTCCAGGCACGTGGGGCATCTGGGTGGGAAGCACTCTCTTCTCCCATTTCCCCTGGAGCCTCAGTGGGGTCCCACGAGCAGAGAGGCACCATCTGTTTTCTGGTCAACCCGTTCTGGCGCGCCCCCACACCTAAGCCAGAAGTGTCAGCAATGGCCACACTACATCCCCCCCACTAACCTGCAGATACAATCTCCAGAGAACAAATAAAGCGAGGACCCCCTGGGTGCTTCCGGGGTGAGTCCGAAAGCACCGCAGACTCCCTGGAACTCTCGCCCGGGCACTGAGACCAAGTTCCATCCCTTACCCACACTACCGTGTTTATTCCTACCAGGAATTAACCAAAGAGCACGGCCTTCCCAGGCACCAAAACCTCTACCACCTGTGGCTCCGACTGATGAGCGGCTCCTCCTGCCTGTTTTCAGCCGGGCTCACCTTGCCTCCTCTGGGCCAGTTCTCACCTCCACAGCGGTCACCTCCCGTGTCTCCAGCGGGAGGCACTGCCTTCTCCCGTTTTCCGTGGAGCCCCAGTGGGCTGCCACGGTACAAGGGACTGGCTGTTGGCTGATCGGCTGGCTCCGACACGTTAGTCAGAAGTTAAAGCACACCGCAAGCTCCCCAAACCCTACAGGTACGATCTCCAGAGAAGTGAAGTGCGGGCCCCGTGGCACTACCGGGGTGAGCCCAAAAGCATTGCCGACCGCCTGGAACTCCCACCCGGGCACTGCAGCCAAATTCCATCCCTTACTCACTACCGTGATCCATCAGACTGAGGAAGCAAAACCCGAAGAATACACCTTAGACCAAGGACCTAAACCTCTTCACCAGCCGCTGCTCAAACTCACAAACCTGACAGTCAGGGGAGAGCCCCGAAAATCTGCGGAAAAAAATCTAAGGAGCGGGTCCTCACCTTTCCGTGGACTAGCCCGTCTCAGCCCAGGGCCGTTTCCCACCTTCGGGCCCAGATCCAGGCTCCTCGGGCATCTGGGTGGGAAGCACTCTCTTCTCCCATTTCCCCTGGAGCCTCAGTGGGGTCCCACGAGCAGAGGGGCACCATCTGTTTTCTGGTCAACCCGTTCTGGCGCGCCCCCACACCTAAGCCAGAAGTTTCAGCAATGGCCACACTACATCCCCCCCACTAACCTGCAGATACAAGCTCCAGAGGACAGATGAAGGGTGTCGCCCTGGGTGCTTCCGGGGTGAGCCTGAAGGTGCAGCCGACCTCCTGGAACTCTGGCCTGGACCCTGTAACCAAATTCCACCCTTTACCCACTACCGTGTTTATTCCTACCAGGAATTAACCAAAGAGCACCGCGTTCCCAGGCACTGAAATCTCTCTACCGCCCGTGGCTCTCTCACTGCCACACATCCCCCATCAGGAGGGAGCCCCGGAAGACTTTAGAAAAGCTCAACCTCATGAGCGGCTCCCCCTGCTCGTCTGCAGCCGAGCCCATATCGCTTGCCCCTGCCACTCTCGCCCGCCACTCTCGCCCCCCCCCCCCGGCCGGTTCTCACCTCCTGCGTGGAAACC